AAACGTAACCTTATTTTAACACCTCTAATTGGGTCATTTTCATTTCTTGTTTTGTTTGGTTTTTGGTTAAAATTTGCTGTTAGAGTTATGAATATAATTCTGTGAATGGTATATTTCTCAGATAGGAAAGCTGAAGAAGGGGCTGAATCCATTATCAATCACGGATCTTATATTTTCACCTCCTCACATGACACTAGCTATCAAAACTGGCATAATCACGGGTATCATAGCCCTCGCTGTAAGCATCTTTCTCCAATTCTTAATTATATAAAATATTACAAACTGTCAAGCATGTATTATAGATAAAAATAATAATTAAAAACAATAATTAATAATAGGTAACACTCTTTGACTTTGACTTAAGACTTAATTTGTTACGTAAGTTAACCTTGTTATAGTTTATTGACAAAAGCCAGTGAAGTCAAGTTAATGTTTATTTTATTAGTAAAATCCATAAAGTCAATCCTTAATGAAAATACAGATCAACGTGCTTTTTCATGTCAAATTTAGATTCTATCCTTAATTTCTTCATTATTTTCCTTTTTAAATTTTTTACTAAAAATATTTAGAAACGGTTAATTAATCCAGGAAGGGATAGCAGTGGGGAGAAGCTTTTCCATGTTCAAGAGTTACCATATTGATGGAAACAAAGAGATGATTGCAATTGGAATGATGAACGTTGTTGGTTCTTGCACTTCTTGCTATCTCACAACAGGTGATTATACTTAACATTATAAGTACTTTTAATTGTATTTGTATACTTTATCACTTATAAATATAAACAGAAGCAACAAAATAATAATAAAAACTCTACTTCTAATTACAGTTCAGCTGCCTAAACTTCACCTTGCTCATGACATGTGAACAAAATTTCAGGTCCATTTTCGCGATCTGCGGTGAACTACAACGCAGGGTGCAAGACGGCAGTGTCAAACATAGTCATGGCAATTGCCGTCATGTTCACGTTGTTGTTCCTCACACCCTTATTCCATTACACTCCGCTGGTGGTGCTCTCAGCAATCATAATCGCCGCGATGCTCGGTCTCATAGATTATGAGGCCGCCATCCATCTTTGGAAAGTGGACAAGTTTGATTTAATCGTTTGCATAAGTGCATATGTTGGCGTGGTCTTTGGCAGTGTGGAAGTCGGATTAGTCATAGCGGTATGAGCCTAATACAAATACTAATGCTAATTAAGAGGCTAATTAGGTT